CCACTGATAAAGAGAGCCTGGGAAAAACAGGAACAGGGAGATATTCTTATAGAACCTGCTGTAGTGAGGCAGAACTGGGAGGCGAACGGAAGTTCCTGAAAGCCAATCAGGTCTCAGCAGCTCCTCAGATAGACGCCCAGGTCCCTCACCTGTCTGTGTCTCTGCAGGGAACCCTCAGCAGCTGTCAGATGTCCTCAGGCTGCACCTGGGGGAGGGTCTGTTGGTGAGCGGGGGAGTCAGCTCTCACACTCGTGTGACGCCTCTGCAGGGGGAAAAACTGGAGCTGGGCGTGGTCAGTGAGAAGTTTGCCTCTTCTGCAGGCTCCTGATTGGTCAAACAGCTTCTTCAATAACCTGATGATCAGCCGTTGATCCTTCCTTTTCTCTCTCTGCACCAGAGGAACTACACCGTCTATGTCAACAAGGTTCCTGTGGTGGACGCCGACCTGATGGCGACTAACGGCGTTGTTCACGCCATCAACAGCATCATCAAACCTCTGGGTGAGCCACAGCACTACACCAGTCTGCAGAGGTTCTGACCCGGTGTGCACTGCTGGAAACATCTGTCTTTGGTTCTCTGTTGCAGCTCCAAGGGCAGACAGGGAGCAGGCAGATGGACCTGCAGCGGCTTCGCCTGCAGTAAGGAATCATTAAAGGTTTTCCTAACGAGCATCAGGAGATCAGATGTTCCTCTGTCTGAAATCTTGTCTGTTTTCCAGGTGGACTCCAGGAGTTTCAGGAACAGTGAGGGACTCGTCTTTAGCTTGTGATCCTGGTTTAGGTTCTGGTCCCAGTTACGATTCTGTTTGTTTCCACAGATGATCTGTTCGAGAGGGTTCTGAGAAGTCGCTCCAGCAGAACCATGAACAAGATTCAGTAAAAAGGAAGGAGGAGTTCAATGACTCCCAGCAGGACCGATTCCCTGTTTTCAGGGAATGGGAGTTTTTTTTCTGTAAAAAACAGTTTAACTCTGTGAGATCCCTGTCAGATCGCCTATAAAGTGTTCTGTGGTCCTGCAGCATGTCGGCGGGTCGCAGATCTGGCCTTTGAGAGATTTTTGTAAAATAAAGCTGAGAGTGAGACTCCCCTATATCAGTGTGCTTCATCTCTGCAGAGAAGGACATTCCTGCCTCTAAACAGATCATTGGTTCTGACCAGATTACTTCTAAATCCAATTCCTGGTTCTTGAGATGGTCTTCAATTCTGTTTTGGTCCAGTTTGTTCTCTTTCACTGTTTTCTGGAGAGCATTTTAATTGATTGACTCTTCTGACCAAGAAGCTCTTGAGCTGACAGAAAAAATTTCTGGCTGAATCTGAAAAACCTTCCCAGTTTAGCTCCATGGATATAATTCCAATTAAGCTGTTGGATGAAACTAAAGCTCACCTGGTAGTTCATCATTAGGATGGAGCTCCTCCATACAGATGCAGCTCCAGCTACATATGGAGCTTTTTACACTTGAGGAGTTCCAAATAAAGCATAATTTTTTATCTGAAATGCACACATTAATATATGTATTTACAATTTTGGTTTAATTACTGCTCTAAGTTAGTTTCTCTGTCAGCTAAAGGCATGTTTTGGAGTCTTAATACTCCAGTTAAAGATTAATCGATTACTAAATTAGTTGATGATTATTTTAATAATAGATCAATGACGATACACAAATTTATTAAAATAAGGTGAAGAATGATTTAACTTTTCACATCAGCTTTGAGGGAGGAAATAAGAAAACTGGAACCATCAAATTAACTGATCCCAAATAGAAATGGATATTTTTATTTTTTGTGGTATCATTTTCACAGTTAGAATGAAGGAATATTAGAGATAAACAAAAGCAGTCACCATGGAAGCTGAAAACACATGTACCCCCCCACCCCCTTACATTTAATGGCCATTGATGGTTAAAAAAAAGTACATTCATAACAAAAGAGAATTTGAGTAATTAAAAGAAAAACAACCACCTCCCCCCAATATAAAAAGCACAAACAAAATAAATGAATTCAAAGCTGTGTGTGTGTAATAACCTTTACAATACAGGTTGTGGGCCCAAAAGGACTAGACCAGAAACAAAAAGGAGAGGGAGAAAGAAACAGCTGCATCTCCAGGCTTAGTGATGCAACATTTCTAAAAGGGGAACAAAATAAAAAAAGAAACATGTAATCAGAGCCTCTGATGGAGAGTCTTATTTATTTATTTTTTTCAGTTTTATAAAGCAGTGTCCATCTTTATCAGGTGGGAGTTGGTGGGTGAGGGTCAATCCAAAGCATTAGAGTGGCTATTCTGGCCAGCAACATAATGGACAGGATTCAGAATAAACAAGAATTGCTCTCTATCGATATCCAGTTCCTCAGACCAGAGAGTGCCAAGTTAACAGATGAAAATTAAACACGCTCTTTGAAAAAGGTTTGATTCCAGTGTGGAAAGTGCAATTAAAGTCTCTGACCTGTAAATACCTGAAGAAATGAGTATTGGGCAGCTTAAGGTTTGAAGGTAATTGAGAAAATGTTGCCAAAGGGCCATGGGCTCTGATGATAATATAGAGATATGTCTGCAGCTCCCCCAAGTGGCAAAAGTTTGCTCAATTACTGATGGAGGAAATGAGGGATTTAATTGAAATGGGGAAATAAGAGGTGCTTTACATGACTCCAGTTTTTTTAATGAACTTGACAAAGACATTATCTAAATGGCATCCCATTTAGATAATCAATTTATTTAATCAGGTAAAAAAAAAATAAAATCTCTTTTTCAAGAGTGGCCAGGAAAAACAAGAGAACGCAGAGGAACAGAGTCAGATGAGGCCTCCTCCACTGGCATGCAGACTGGCTTGGTATTAGTGATAAACCAAAATGACTTTGTGTTGATATTTACAGACCAATAATAGTAAAAAAATGGTAGATCAAGGCATCCCAAATCCTATATTTTTGATAAAAAAAACATTTGTTTTCTTTCCTTTTTTTTTTTTGCATTCTGTAAGCCGTTTGGTTTTATAGTAACTGAGATTGAGCTATCAAGTGGATGGAAAATATTTTTGTAATAAACTCCAGAATATATTAAAGGAGCACTTTAATTATGATCAGATCGGCAGGCAAGAAAATTGATAGTCCGGGTCAGACTTAAAAAGATTTGAAGCTTTTTAAATGCATAAAATCCTAAACATTGAAAAAATTCCTGTACCAGAATATTAGCCCAGCATTTTCCACTTACATTTACATCACCCTTAGAAATGCTTAATTCTCTTTAAGAAAAAGCATTAAAAATAATTTTCATATTTAATTAAATATACTTTAAACAGTATTATTCCTTTTTTAAACACGGATAAATATGTTTACCTGTGTGACTTCATTAAAATGGCATCTCTTATAGTATACCTGTCTTTAATTTTTAAGTATGTTTTTCAATGAACTGAACAAGACACCAAACACAATCAACAATACTAATAGTACTAACTAGTAATTTAAGCAGTTTGATTAGATTCAGAAGTCTAATTTTTTTTTTTACATACCAAGTTCAAATTATACAAACCAAAAAGGTTTCAAATTAAAGTAAAGTAATATTGCATGTTCACTTATATGTCATTCAATAGAAATAGCACATTTTGAGTCTTTAACGTGCTTTTTATCAACTGGGTCACTAAACTGCATATTTAAACAGCTTCACATATACATTGAAATGCATTCTTTAATGCAGTATAAAAACCTTAGATAAATTGTTTCTTTTTATGAGAAATTGTTAACTTTTTTTTTTTTCATTTGACCCCCCTCTTTTGTGGTGTCCATAAGGAGGTTTACTTTGAAAATACAAAAAAAAAAAACAACCCTCAACCCGGTTGCACAAATGATCTCACCCTCAAAAATAAAATGGCATGATCACATCAGGAAGAGACAACACTGAAGTGTTTTGGACAACTGGGCCTAAGAGACAGGCATAATTATACTTTCTTATAAACTTTTATTTTCTTAATTAATAGAGTACTATTTAGAATTTTAATCAGGTATATGCAGAATGATAATGATCATATTACATATGTCAATTTATTGTGCAACACATTTTATAATAATAAACTACCAATATTAGCTTTGGCTTAAAGAAAAGAATTAAACATATATTTCATAACATTCTTAATTGGGTAGTAAAATCCAGGTGCAGGGACGGCACAGGAGAGAGGCCACCGTAGTTTTCACAGTGTTCATCATAATATAGGTAGACATGAGACAGGGAAATGGGAAGGTTGCTAGGAAGAGGAGACAGATCATGGTTTCAAGACTTTGGGGTGAAAAATTGAAGGAATTCTGAGTTTACATTAAAGAGTGACTTCGGTTGTGAAAGCAAAGCACATGTTAGGAGCCTGATCAGTGAGAGATTGCTCCTCCCCAAAGGCAGGATCAACAGACTGCTGAACTCCTTTGTTCCCCAAGCCATCAAGCTGTACAACTCCTCACTTGTGGGCAGGAGGAGGTGATAGGAAGAGGGTCAGCATAACCCCTCCTTGGACATCTTATGCAAAACATTACCTATTGTCACTCATGCAATATTCTTCTCTCTCACTGTGCAATAATAAAGGCCAACTACTGTGTAGCTTGTTTAATTTTCACTTATTATTAAGGTCAGTACATTTCTGCAGTGTAAGTGCAATAACCCAAGTCAACTAGGCTACTTTGTAGTCTTCCCTAAGCTCTCTACTGTGAAGATGTTTTTATATCTAAGGGAAACATATTCCAGGACATTACAACTTTTTTTCTTTATGCTTTTTTGGTACTTTATACACTCTTTCTATATTGTCTGTCGTATTTTTTATCTTTAATGGTATCTTGCTTGAGTCTAAGTCTTAGTCCTAGTTAACATTTTTCTGTTTCGTTTTGTTTTTCCATTAATTTAATTATAGGTCATAGATTGCAAGGTCACAGGCTGACCCATATTCCGGGACAGTAGGTGGCGGTAGTCGCCAACCGCCGTAAAACTCGAAGAAGCTGCGCATGTCTAAAGTCATCCAGGGTGATAGGGGGCGCTGCGGCCGCTCATCAAGTCCCTATCTATTTCCTGTAGAGAAACGCGGTATCTGTGAAGATGTTCTCAGTTTTAAAGGAGCGGGTTGGAGATGTCCTGCTACCTGGAGATGAGTTCTGCTGCGGCCCTCAGGAAACCCTTTCTCTGACTGACAGCGGGAAGCCGGAACGCCTGGTAGCCGGGCCTGGGATACGGCAGAGCGGCGACCGTTTGCTGGTGAGCCGGAGCGGTGTGCTAAGACACAAAGAGCCAAACAAGTTCTGGATCGAGTCACAGCAGAGGAGGGTGAGTCCGGTCCGCTCCGAACTTACAGCCGAACTTTTGTCTAGATCAGTCAAACATAGAAACACGGATCTATGATGCTCTGAAGCTTAATCCTGAAGGAATAAACTCAGTTTAGTGTAAAATCTACTAGAAATCAAACGGATGTTCTGACAGAAACTGAGAATTTAAGTTTTTCTTTTTATGAGCTGTATCTTATAAGTTTATAAAACTTCTAGAACAGGTCGAATAGTTGATATTTCGGAATGAATGCATTTTTAGAATAGATTGTCATGCTGAATAGTTGGGTTTCATTTGTCCAAAGGACATTGTCCAATAAGTCTTACCCTTCATCCAGATGCAGCTCTGTCAACCTACTGCCATCTCGTTCCTAGAGAAGAAGCTTTCTCCTATAATCCTTCTGAACAGTCAGCCTAGTTCAGCCCACCATGACCTTTGACCTGTTNTCTTATAAACTTTTATTTTCTTAATTAATAGAGTACTATTTAGAATTTTAATCAGGTATATGCAGAATGATAATGATCATATTACATATGTCAATTTATTGTGCAACACATTTTATAATAATAAACTACCAATATTAGCTTTGGCTTAAAGAAAAGAATTAAACATATATTTCATAACATTCTTAATTGGGTAGTAAAATCCAGGTGCAGGGACGGCACAGGAGAGAGGCCACCGTAGTTTTCACAGTGTTCATCATAATATAGGTAGACATGAGACAGGGAAATGGGAAGGTTGCTAGGAAGAGGAGACAGATCATGGTTTCAAGACTTTGGGGTGAAAAATTGAAGGAATTCTGAGTTTACATTAAAGAGTGACTTCGGTTGTGAAAGCAAAGCACATGTTAGGAGCCTGATCAGTGAGAGATTGCTCCTCCCCAAAGGCAGGATCAACAGACTGCTGAACTCCTTTGTTCCCCAAGCCATCAAGCTGTACAACTCCTCACTTGTGGGCAGGAGGAGGTGATAGGAAGAGGGTCAGCATAACCCCTCCTTGGACATCTTATGCAAAACATTACCTATTGTCACTCATGCAATATTCTTCTCTCTCACTGTGCAATAATAAAGGCCAACTACTGTGTAGCTTGTTTAATTTTCACTTATTATTAAGGTCAGTACATTTCTGCAGTGTAAGTGCAATAACCCAAGTCAACTAGGCTACTTTGTAGTCTTCCCTAAGCTCTCTACTGTGAAGATGTTTTTATATCTAAGGGAAACATATTCCAGGACATTACAACTTTTTTTCTTTATGCTTTTTTGGTACTTTATACACTCTTTCTATATTGTCTGTCGTATTTTTTATCTTTAATGGTATCTTGCTTGAGTCTAAGTCTTAGTCCTAGTTAACATTTTTCTGTTTCGTTTTGTTTTTCCATTAATTTAATTATAGGTCATAGATTGCAAGGTCACAGGCTGACCCATATTCCGGGACAGTAGGTGGCGGTAGTCGCCAACCGCCGTAAAACTCGAAGAAGCTGCGCATGTCTAAAGTCATCCAGGGTGATAGGGGGCGCTGCGGCCGCTCATCAAGTCCCTATCTATTTCCTGTAGAGAAACGCGGTATCTGTGAAGATGTTCTCAGTTTTAAAGGAGCGGGTTGGAGATGTCCTGCTACCTGGAGATGAGTTCTGCTGCGGCCCTCAGGAAACCCTTTCTCTGACTGACAGCGGGAAGCCGGAACGCCTGGTAGCCGGGCCTGGGATACGGCAGAGCGGCGACCGTTTGCTGGTGAGCCGGAGCGGTGTGCTAAGACACAAAGAGCCAAACAAGTTCTGGATCGAGTCACAGCAGAGGAGGGTGAGTCCGGTCCGCTCCGAACTTACAGCCGAACTTTTGTCTAGATCAGTCAAACATAGAAACACGGATCTATGATGCTCTGAAGCTTAATCCTGAAGGAATAAACTCAGTTTAGTGTAAAATCTACTAGAAATCAAACGGATGTTCTGACAGAAACTGAGAATTTAAGTTTTTCTTTTTATGAGCTGTATCTTATAAGTTTATAAAACTTCTAGAACAGGTCGAATAGTTGATATTTCGGAATGAATGCATTTTTAGAATAGATTGTCATGCTGAATAGTTGGGTTTCATTTGTCCAAAGGACATTGTCCAATAAGTCTTACCCTTCATCCAGATGCAGCTCTGTCAACCTACTGCCATCTCGTTCCTAGAGAAGAAGCTTTCTCCTATAATCCTTCTGAACAGTCAGCCTAGTTCAGCCCACCATGACCTTTGACCTGTTAACTTTAGCCTGTTGGCTCTAAGAGGGAGCTCTTAGGTTATGATCATTATTAGGGACATCCACCCTAATAGACTAGCAGGGATGCTTTCTCTCAGCTGGATGAAGAACTTCAGGGTCTGTTTTCACAGGGAATGCTACGGATTAAAGGGATTTCATTTTAGGAAAATTAATTTTGTGAATTCTACTTCAATCCAGCAAGTTTTTCCCAAAGCACCTTAAGCTAATAAAATGGAAAGATGAGCGTATTGCATACAGAATTGTAGAAAAAAATTTAAAATAAATAATCCAAACAAAATAATGTACAATAATAAACTCTGTATAGGATGTAAAAGAGGTGAGATCTGCTTTATTGTTCATGATGATGTCAGTGTTCATAACCTAAATGGTAATCCACAGATGGCAGCAGGCTTTGGTTCATTAAAACAGAGGAAAAGCCAGCCTCTTGGTACAGTGATCCCAGGACCAGTTTCCCTTTCAGCACTCCTCTGTCTAGTTCAATTTTATCCACCTTTATTTCCTAAATTTTCTGGTGGTTTTGCTTAGAATCAAACAGTTTTATAGAAGCAGCAGGTGAGTCCATGTTGATGCTAAATGGATAAAGTAGTGAAAAGAACAACCTGGAGAGTAAATCGAAGTAATGATGTAGAGATGCTTAAACATTTGGATGCTGTTACAATTTACATTTTTATTATTAAACACATTTTTTAATTCATTCTAAATTCTATAATGAAATAATTTCCATTGATACTAGGAGCATATTTGTGTTTCTGTTTGTTTTGGTTTCTGCTCTGATCACCTGCAGCAGCATTGAGGTCAACCTTACCTTTTCACTAACATTTTATACTTAGACATTATGTTGATACACACCAGGTTGCTGATACCAAACTGCTTCCATTGTTTGGAACCATACCAGATAGTCTCTGAATTTCTCCATCATCGTTCTGTCCTCAGTACGTCCCAGCTAAAGGAGAGACGGTGATTGGCATTGTGACTGCTAAATCTGGAGATGTCTTCAAGGTGGACTTTGGAGGAAGCGAGCAGGCATCTCTGTCCTACCTGGCCTTTGAGGGCGCCACCAAAAGGAACCGACCCAATGTCCAGGTGACACATTTAGATGTGCAGAGTATCTGTTGTCCGACGATCCATAGTTGTTCCTGCGATTGGATCAGGCTGTTTAAAGGCCCATAATTCTACAGAACCTGGCTTTATTTAACCCTGATCGCCCTCGTTTCTCTTTCGGTCCACAGGTGGGCGATCTGGTGTTTGCTCAATTCGTTGTAGCTAATAAGGACATGGAGCCGGAGCTGGTTTGCATCGACGGATCGGGCCGGGCCAACGGGATGGGTGTGTTCGGAGCTGGGGGTCTCCTCATCAAAGTGTCTCTGGGCCTCGTCAGAAGGTAACTCACCCAACAGCTCCTCAGGTGTTCCTCCTCCCAACAGTTACTGGAGCTTCCAGCTGGTTTTGGTCTGAGCCCAGTTCCCAAAAAACTAGGGATGAGGTCAGGGCCGGTCCAGCTGCAGTTTCCACTGCTTCAGGGAGATGGTCAGAAAACCACAAAAAAAAAAAAAAATGCAATCTGGAAGGCATCAGACACCAATAGAAATCTGATTAAAAGAACCAAGCAGTGTTCTGTTAATCCCAAACGGATCAGCAAGCTGGATCCTGCAGCTGCTATATGCTCCACTGATGTGCAGGGTTCTTTTAACAGGGTTTTGATTTGTTTGGTTCTGCTTGATGCTGAATTCATATTAACTCTCTGAACATGCAGCTGGGGGTTTCTGATAAATCACAGTGATCTTCCAAAACTCTGTATTGCGGTCCTGAGAAATTGTTCTCCTGTGTCTGCAGGCTCTTGGCCCCCCACAGCGACCTGCGGGCCGACCTGGAGAAACTGTTCCCCTGCGAGCTGGTGGTGGGGATGAACGGCCGGGTCTGGGTCCGGGCAGCGAGCGTCCAGCAGACTCTGATTGTGGCCAACTTGTTGCAGAGTTGTGACACAATGACGCCGTCACAGAGGCAGCAGCTGTTCAAGCGGGTCCAGCAAGGGGGGCTCTAGACTCAGGAGCTGAGCAGATCTTTATTTTGCTGATTGGTTCCAGAACGAGCTCCAAATGGCTCAGCAGGCAGACGGTCAGCCAATCACAGTCCTGCTAGTGGCTTAAGGTTCAGTGAGTGGATCAGTTATGTTGGGACTAGTTTACTGCTCAGTTAACCCTTCAGGACTGCCTGGATAAAAGGATCGACCAGCTGTCTGATTGGAACCTCACAGCAGGTAACCACCGAACAGTGATCATTGACTCGTCTCTATGGCAACACTGACAGGAACCCTCAGAGGATCTGGTCTCCTGGCAGCATTCCTTTTTCACTGTAAAAATGTTTCTAAATTTGAAAATAAAGTTTCTATTTTGAATTTGGCATCACGGTTTATTTAAACTCACTTTGATGAACAGCCTCTGAGCCTGTAACCATGGAGATGAGCAGCCAGATCTGTGGCGTTCAGAGGCATTTCTGTTTGAGATTTCCCATAGCCGTTTGACATGAGAATCCAAAGGATCAGCTGGTTCTGACTGGGGGGATCAAATTGGATCAGATCTCCCTTTGTTTGTGTGAATGAAATTGGGCGCTGTTCTAGTTGGAATCTGTAAAAGCAGCTTTAATCCATCCGTGGTTCTGCAGCTTGTGTTTGTTTTGGATCTAATTGAATTTTATTTTATCCATTGCTGTTTTTTTTAGACTCAAATGACACACATTGAATAAAATCTTTTTGTTAAATCTTTCCTGGTGTTCATTTCCTTCTAACCATGTTATGTTTTTATTTAATGTTCTGTAAACCTAAAGGAAGAGTTATGTTTTCTGAACAAAGGAACCTGTTTGAGCAGTTCTGCTGCCCTAATCCAGATCAACTAGAAACGCCTAGTTGCAACTTTAGCACCAGAACAGTTCAGGTTTAAGATCGCCACCCGATGTTTTCAGTCTCCGGTTTTTAACTAAAGCTCCCATTCAGGACACTGAAGAAAAACGTATTGATTTCATCTTTTTTTATTAGCAACATACTGGTACCTGGACCAGTTTAACGGGTCGACATGACACCGGTCAGTTTAAGGCACATTACAGGCGATTGTTCCACACAAACAGGAAGAAAAAGCAGTCACGAACACACACCCACAAAGAACTGATCAATCAATTATAAGAGCTGGTCCAGTCCAGCTGTCAGCTGACCCGGTTTAAGGGATCAACGAGGTCTTTGGTACCAACAGCTGCAGGAAGAATCCCTCAGTCAAAATTAATCTTAAATCATTTATGCTCAACATATCTGATCATTTACACAGAGATCCCTAATCAATGGGTCGAGTTCTGGCCCCGATCAGAACTGATTATCAATCACACTAACCAGCAGTTGGAACCCGGTTCTAAACCTAGTCTTGTTTCAATTATCAGATTTTAAATCTGAATCGTTTCGACACCAAGTGGTATCTTCACCTTCAGTAACATGGTGGGACCACAGAAACGGGTTTGGTCCAATTAAAACCACAACTGGTTCTGTTTGGTTGTCACCAGAACCTTACTGGTGCATTCCCCAGGCTAAGCTGAACCATTGTTCGACCTGGTTCCTTTCAGAGCTTCTTTGGTTGTGAATCGGAACCATTAGCATCTCTCACCAAGCAGAACCTCATAAGTTCAACAGCTTTTGGACTTTTCATTTCGTACGATTGAATCACATAAGCTGACTAATCAAATTGTCAGCTTTTAGCCCCGCCTCACAGAAAAAAAACCCAGAAATCCCAAACAGAACCTGCATCGATATTCTCTCATCTGATTAGTAGCTAGAAGCTCCTGCTATGTTCAGAATCAACCCGGCCCAGTCTGTAACATCCCCCTCCCTGTGTGACCCTGCAGGATTTCAGGTTTGTAGAATAAGAGCATTTTTTATAATGTGCTGCAGCAGCGTCTGATTGGCTCCAACCAGAAAGTCCTTAAGGCCTGGCAGAGAAAAATAACATTCAGTTTGTTTGTGCAACAATGAGATGAGTCCAACAGGTCTGGTTCAACAGAACCAGAACCCCTGTTTAAAAGTTTCAAGTGTCATAAACAGCGCATGGTCTTTACTGCATTGGTCCGGCTCCGGTCCGGCTCGTGGCCCGACGGGCCCTCAAGTAGCCCGCTCAGGGCTTTCCCACGTCCACTGTGATCTTAGTGAACAGGTCAAGCTTCTCGACCTGAATCACGTTGTAGGTCAGGGAGTTGATCCCATCTTTGTGCATTGTCTCTCGTGTGTGGGCGATCCGGTCGAACCTGGAACAAGAACAGAACCGCATTAAGCCGTTGGGATCAGCAGGAGAATCCCAGATTGCAAAGGCAACTCCTGACAGAGAGCAAATCTCTACTGCAAGCCCGGTTCTGTGAACCCAATAAACTAAAGAAAAAGGGTTTCAACGTGAAGTTCCATCAGTTTATGGACAAAGAGAACCTGAGAGTGTCTGTACCTCTGAGGGTTTGGCTCGTTCTGCTTGTCCCGGGTGTGTCGGATCATGCGGCATTTTCCGACCTCTCCACTGGGTCTGGAGATGCTCATCCCTTTGGAAGCAAGCCTGGAGAGACAGAATCTGTGACTTAGTAGGAGACTACAGTTTACTAGTCTATAACAATATGTTCACTCCTGGACCGCACCAGAACCAGTCCATTTTATACCATAAAAACTCAATGTTGTGACTTGGCTATGGCTGCAGCCTATAGACCTGCTGTGTCATTGCACTGGTCAGGTGAACTTCAGCTACTGTGCTCTTACATTTGCAATATAACTTATCGTTTTTTCAGGTGATAAAACATTGGGTGTTACCATATTCGGTGACCCTTCACATATTGTGACTCAGGGAGGATCTGCTGAAGATTCTTATCACCAGTCTGCTCTGTACTTAATAACTTTACAGGACAAATACCTGAACCTATTTTACAGTGGATCATAAAAAAAAAACAACTTACATAATCACTTATTTTTTTAAACATTAATCAAAACCAACATTTAATTATCCCAAATAAGACAAGTTATAATTTTATGTAGTGTTTGTTTGGAAAGGTAAGAGAATGTGGCACGTGGTTTAAATTCACCAGACGAGCGCTGTGACACGTGACATCTCCTGGCTGCAGCCAAGCACTCTATGGCTACGTTCACACTGATTGATGCTCAATTCCGATTTTTTTGTACAAATCCAATTTTGTCACGTTGCCGTTCCTATTTCCAAATATATGCGACTTGTATGTGATCTCCTGTGTGAACTGCAGTGATACAACGCAAGTGTCCCGCATGCGCGGTAGAGGACGCAATGACATCACAGGCCTGCGTGCTCTTTTTTTCCAGAAGTAAACATGAATGGTAGCGCCGGCGCGCATCTAGCAATCTTTTCCAACCATAAAAACTCAATCTTTTTAATATGTTTAAACATAAATACTGCTCTCAGCATCATCATCCGCCATAGCTGTTTTTCTTGCCGCTTCTACATAGCAAGACGCATAATAGTGACGTTTATCGGGTATTAATAACATTCAGGTCAGATGAATGCGACCTGGTCGTTCAGACACAGGTCACATTTGAAAAGATCAGATTCAGGACCACATAGCCAAGTGGCCTGGGTCGGATTGGAAAAAATCGGATCTGTGTTGTTCAGACTGCCATGAAAAGATCAGATCCAGGTAGCATATGGGCAAAAAATCGTATTTAGGTCACTTCAGGCTGCTGTGTGAACGTAGCCTTAGATATGACAGATCATCCTCCAAGTAGCAGTAGAACCAACACGGTCACATCAGCCATCCATCGGCTTGGATCAGAACCAGTGGGCTGATCCCTGACAGAGGTGACTGTGTTGAGGACGAGCCCTCAGGTGAGCTTACCTATTATAGATGTCGTCGTCCTCCCCGCCCCAGCCCCAGTAGTTGTTCGGGAACCCATTAATCTTTAGGTACTGCTCTTTGCTCATGGATGAAACGCCTCCAAAGTACTGGTGGTAGGGTAACCTGCAGGAGAACAGAGGATCAGTTTACCTAAGAGCATAACCATGAACCTCTAAGGAGAACCTGTCAGCTATAAAGGATGAAAAGCTGTGGCTCTATCAGATGCAGTTTTTTCCTGAGATCCCTAAAAAAAAAAAAAAAAAAAGGTTACCACGGTGACAGTGAGAGGTGTTCACGGCCCAATCCCAAACCGCCCCCTAACCACTGCCAATCCCAGTGTAGTCTCACTTGCAGCTGTGGAAGGCGCCTTGATTGAAGGTGGGGGATACATAAGAGAATGGGACGGCTTCCTACCTCCAACGCAAAAGGAAAGCAGTCATTGCTATGGCAACACAGTGACACCCCATGGCTGTAGCTCTCTGGCGCAGGTTGACTTAACATTAAACATTTGCCCCTTTCTTAAAGCAAATGTATACGGTCAAACAAAACTACCACTTAAAAAAGGACCTTCCCCTTTGGAATTAATTACTTTTTTTTTTTTCATATACTTCTTTGTGATTTTCTGTCAGTGTGATGTAGATGCAGCAAAGGATCAGCAAGATCCTTTGCTGCATCTGGAGAAAAATGTTTCCTTTGCCAGGCCGCTGTTACACCTGCTGCCAAATTCCTGAAACTGCTGCAGACTCGTTATTTAAGGACTGGACGGTCCACTCTCCCTACCCACTACGTATTTTGGGATGGCACTTACGTGGCGGACCCTCTATGGGAACACCCAAACGGAGGGTTAGTGTTTAGGGGCTGGTTTGGGATTGGGCCATCATGTCTTCAAACTGGACCTGTGTGTAAATGTATTTTAAATGCAAAGGGAGGACACTCCCATTGACATGCATTCATTTTCTACTCCTTCTAAAACCTAAATATAACAACCCTTAACATACCCATTACTGGTACTTTCCCTCACCCAAACCTAAATCACGCCTTAAGGCTGATTTATACCTCAAAACTAGGTCACCTTCATAGTTGTTGCGGTGAACACAGAGATGTCCCCGCCCCCTCTGCAGACGCTCTGCTACACCTCTCCCAAATTGAAGGTGACCGCAGACAGGAGGCCTCCGATTGGTCAAATCTACATCCACTCTACACTATGAGTCTCCTGTTTGGTACCTTACCGGCTTGTTTTGTTTGTATGACCATGCGGAAAACGACTCGTGAAGTTGGACCAGCTAGAAGAGTTTACTGCGCGAGAAAGCTGGGACCTTTTTTTGATCTTGCTCTATTTCGCCCTCATTTCCCTCCGTTGTGGGACAAACTTGCCCCCACTCTGGCCGTATCTAGAACCAGAGTTAGTTTGTGATTTTCCCCTTTTTCTTTGTGGCGTGGAATAAACATAGCGCAGACCACCCTTCAACATTGAGCATAAATCAAAAATGTCTGTGCCATACCTTCGACAAACCCAATGCGACACACTGCTGCTTAACTTAGCCAACTCACTTTTCTAGTAAATTTCACCAAAAATGTCC